GCTCCATACCTTGGCAGGCGTCTCCCAGGCTCTGGAAGCCGGCGCGGCACAGGCACTCCCCGATGGGCACGAGCCACTCGCCGTCGGCGTTGCAGTGCAGGGCCGGCGCCTGCTCGGCCACCGCCTCGGCCACGCACGAGCCCCGCACCTCGGCCAGGGTCTGCGAGTCGGCGCCGGCCACGGTCTCGGGGAACCGCGCCATGCCCCGCACCACGGCCGGACACCGCTTGTAGTAGACGCGCACGGAGAGCAGCGCCACGCAGGCGCCCAGGTCCTGGAAGGCCAGGTAGAAACCTTTCCTGTGGAGCGGCCCCACCGAGCGCACCTCCACGTTGAGCTTCACGTTGCGGGCGGTGAAATCCTCCTGGACGGTGATCTCGTCCGGGGCGATGGTGTCGATCTTCCTGAACTGCCGCTTCTGGAAGTTGGTGCCGTAATCCACGTCCGACTCGGCGTAGTAGAGGTTGAAGGTCTCCTTGCAGGAGCCGCCGCCGGCCGTGGGGAAGCTGTTGCAGTCGCGCACGGTGAACTGCAGCTCGATGAAGATGCGCTGGGCCACGCCGCGGTAGATCCAGTTGGTGCGGAGCCAGTTCTCCTGCTCGCCCTCCAGGACGTTGCACACGGAGTACATGTAGATCAGGGAGTCGTTGAGGACGTTCTGCAGCTGGTCCCACTGTCCCCGGAGACAGAAACGCGGCTATGGGGGGAAACTGAGGCACAGCCTCCTGTCCCCATCCCCACGGAGGTCCCGAACCCCATGGATGTCCCCGTGTCCATCCCCACGGGTGTTCTGGTCCCACGGAGGGCCCCATCCCAACCCCAGTGGAGGTCTCCAACCCCACGGGTGTCGCTGTCCCCATGCCCATGGAGGTCCTCACGCCTGTGGCAGGTTCCTGTGGAGGTCCCTCCCTACGGATGCTCCTGTCCCCATTCCCATGGGTGCCCCCAGGCCCGTCCCCGTGGATGTCTCTATTCCCATGGATATCCTCATCCCCACTCCTGTCAAGGTCCCCGAAGATGTCCTTGTCCCCACTGAGCTCCTCCACGGCTGTCCCCGTTCCCCATGCCGCTGCTGGACCTGTGGGTGCTCACCCCTTTTCCGTAGGGCTGGGTGAGCCAGCCCAGCTCCCCGTGGGCCTTGGCAAAGTCCAGCAGCACCACTGCAGGAGAGGAGAGAGGACAGGGATGTCAGGAGATGCCACCAGCACCCGTGGACAGCCCCAGGACCTGCAGGTGCCACCAACACACCCCTTTGACCCTTGGATGTCCATCACCAGGACCCACGGACAGCCCCATGGAAATCCTCAGGATGTGCAAACACTCCTGGGACCCACAGATGTCCCTGAAATTCACGGATGTCCCGGGCACCCACAGATGTCCCTGGGACCCACGGATGCCAGGAGGTTCCACGGATGCCCTCAAGACCCCTGGGTACCCCCACGGATCCACCTCGTTCCCACAGACATCCCCAGGACCCGCAGGCAGTCCCGGGCCCCAGCCGGGTCCCCTGACCCCCGGATCCCCCCACTGCCGGCAGGTCCCGCTGGCAGAAGCCCCCCGGGGCCGCCCCCAGAGGCGGGGGAGCCGCAGGGCCCGGCGGTTCCTGCCCTGGCACGCCGAGGGCGGTGGCCGGATCCAGCGCCGGGAGAGGAAGAGGAGGAAGAGGAGCCCGGGGAGGGAGCGGGGCCCCCCCGGTGAATCACCCCCCAGGAATGTGCCCGGACGCCCGGATTCAGCGAGGTGGGTCCGGCGGGAGGGGGCGATTTCGGGGCGGAGGGACCCCCTCAGCTCCCCCGGCTGAGCACGGACGAGCTCGCGGCACCTCCGAGCCCGGGGGGGACCCCAAACCTGCCCGGGGGGACCCGGGTGGCTGCAGCGTCCCCCCCGCGCCGTGCCCGGGGTCAGGAAGGATGCCGGGGCGGATATCCCGGTTTTCCTGAGGCTGGAAATCCCCCCCGCGAGCCTCCGGAGAGCGGAAAGCGGCGGGAGCCGGGACCGGAGCGGGCGGGGGTTCCCTGCGGGTGCCCTCGGGGGTGGCTCCGGGGACAATCCCGGGGCTGGAGCTCCCGGGACAGCGCCGGGGCCGCAGCACCGTCCCGGGAGCCACCTGCACCCACCGCCACCGCCATCATCATCCTCATCATCAAATTCCCCGTCGCCTTCGTCACCCGGCCACGGCCGCCACCACCTCCAGTGCCACCGTGAATGTGGCCACCGAGCCCCAGCGCCACCCCCGCGCTCCGGAGCCGCGTCCCGCTGCCATTCCCGGCTGTATCCATGCCCTGTCCCCTGCCCCAACCCCGATCCCAATCCGTGTCCCGAGCCGAGCCCCATCCCATTCCCAAAGTGAACCCCAATCCCATCCCCTCCGCTCCCATTCCCCTCCCCATCCCAATCCCACCTCAGCCTTCATGAAATCCCAATCCCAAAATGAATCCCATCCCCATCCTCACCCCAGCCTCGTTCCCTCTCCAGTTGCAGTCTGAACCCCAGTAACAATCCCCAAATGGATCCCATCCCAATCCCAATCCCGCTCCATTCCCTCTTTCACCGCCTCCTCACCTCAGCTCACCCCAATTCCCACAGGATCTCACTGCGGGGAACCAATCCCCCCTAAATCCCCAAATCCCACCACTCTTCCCTTCCCTGCACCACTTTTAAAACCCCAAATCCCAGTATTCCCTCCTGGGAAGCAGCACTTTGGGAACACACCCCAAATCCCACAGTGACCCCCTCTGCTGTCCCCCCGGCACTTCCAAAAATCCTCACTTTGGGATTTTTTACCCCATTTTTAGCTTTTAGGGAGTATTTTCCATTCCAGCCTCTGATTTATTTGCATTTGGGGCTGGATTCTTCCACTTTACCCTCGAAACTGATGGATTAAAAAACCCATCAGAGTTTACAGAAACTTAGTCTTAAAAAAAAATTAAATATATACACAAAAAAGTGAATTTCCCTTTTTCTTTCGCTCAACCCTCCCAAACTAAACCCCAAAATCAGCGGGGGAAGGGTTGGGAGGTGGAGGCCGAGACTCTGCTTGTTTTTTTCCCAGTAAATTTTTGGGATTTTCCTGACATTGTTTTCCAGCTCTCCGGCCGGATCCTACCCGGCCCTGCACCACCCATGGGAAACGCTCCAGTTTAAGGTGATTTTCCCCTTTTTGGGGGGTTTATTTTTCAATCCCCCCCACCCTCAAACCTCTGCGAGCCTCCTCGGGGGCTTCCGGCAGGATCAGGCCCCGGCGCGTCAGTCGGACGCTCGGCATGGGAAAAGTTGCCCCAAACTCTCTCAGTTTTCCTCTTATTTTATCTTTTTTCCCTCTCCCCGTTTATTTTTTTTCTCTATTTCAGTTCTCCCCGTATTTTAGCCTCCCTCCCCTTGTATTTTTACTCCCCCCACACCTTTTTAACCCCCTCCCCTTAAACTTTCATCCCTTAATTTAACTTTTCCCCTTTTAATTTAAACTTCTCCACACTCATTTCAACTTTTCCTCAAATTTTAACCCTTTCCCCCCCAAAACCCGCGCTCCACCACTTGCGAATTCCCCACCGCACCCCAAACCGTGGGAGGGGGGGAAGGTGGAACCCCCATCACCCTTTACCCCCAGAGCGCTCCCCAACCCCTCAGCTGCCCCCAAACCCCCCCAGTTTACCCCAAAACCAGCCCAGCCTTGGGGGTACCCACAATAAAGGAGTTTTGGGGTGCTCCTTCCCAACCCCCCCCAATAAAAGCGAAGTGTGGGGCTCACCTTCCTCGGCGGCCAGGGGGCTGAGGGCGGTGAGGAGGAGGAGGGTGAGGCTCGGGGGGCTGCCCGCCATGGCGGGGCGGTTTTTGGGGGGTCCCCACGAGCGGCGGCCCCGCGGGGAGTGCGGGGGGTGCGGGGCGCGCGCCCGCTCCTGTTCATTCATGCCCCGCTGACGTCACCGGCCACGCCCGCTCTTAAAGGCGCAGCAGCCGCTCCCAGTACGCACCAGTACGGAACTGGGAGGGCGCACGCCTCGGGGTGGGGTGGAGGGGAGGGGGTGTGGGAGCTTCCCACAAGGTGGGGCACGGCCCTGGAGGGGGCTCGGGGGTTCCGCAGCAACTCTGGGACCCCCCCGGGCCCGGGCACGAAGGGGTGAACGCGCCCCCCTTCCCGCCCCCTCCCCTTTCATTCATGAATCGGCGTGGGAAGGGCGGGGGGGCGGCAGCCAATGGCTGCAGGGGGCGGGACCGCGGGTTACTACCGGCCACGCCCCCGCCCACCAGTTCCATACTGGGGGGTTTGGGGGGAACTGGTTTGGGGGGGCTGCCCGAGCCCCAGCGGCCCAAATCCTGAGCACCACTGTCCTCGTGATCCCGCAGCACCCCAAATCCCATCACCCACAGCACCCCAAATCCCACAGCACCGCAAACCCTGCATCACCCCAAATCCCACAGCACCGCAAACCCCGCATCACCCCAAATCCCACAGCACCGCAAACCCTGCATCACCCCAAATCCCACAGCACCGCAAACCCCACATCACCCCAAATCCCACAGCACCGCAAACCCTGCATCACCCCAAATCTCACAGCACCCCAATCCCATCACCCACAGCACCGAAAACCCTGCAGCACCCCAAATCCCCCCCAAAGAAACTCAAATCCCACAGCACTCTAAACCCTGCGCCCCCTGTTCCCATAACCCCTCTGCAGCCAAGTCCCACAACACCCCACAGCACCCAAATCCCCCAAGAGACTCAGCACCCCCATTCCACGATCCCACTGAACCCCAAATCCCCCAGGATCTGCGGCACCCCAAATCCTGATGATCCCACTGCACCCCACACCCCCCAGCACTCCCAAATCTTCATTACCCCAGCACCTCATTCACCCCAAATCCCCCCAAACCCCCATCCCAATCCCGCATCGAGTCAAAAGGCCACCCAGAATCTTTTTTTTTTTTTTATGAAAATCACCGATTTTATCAAAAGAACACCTTTATCCCTCCCACCCCGCAATCCCACCCCGAGACGGGGTTCAGCTGGGAGTGTCCCCCGTGCTGGCGGGGGTGACACCGGCGGTCACTTGGTCGCGCCGCCAGAGCCCCTCGACCAGGGCGTCCAGCACGGGGGCGACCCGGGCCAGCCCCGCCCGAGCCCCGCCGGCCCCCGGGGACCCCCGGGCCCGCAGCACCCGCAGCCCCCACCTCCCCTCGAAGGCCCGCACGTCCCCCTCTGTCACGGCCGCGTGTGGGGCCAGGTCGAATCTGGGGTGGGGAGGGGACACAGGGTCAAGGGAAACAGCAACACCCCGGAAAATCCCCCCAAAACCATCCGAGATCCGTCGGGAGTTGTGAGGGCGTGGGTGTAATGAGGTGGGAGCGTTCTCTGGCTGCCCAGGCACTGAGTGGTTTGAAATCTGAGGGTGCAAACCTGATTGTGGGGTCAAGGGAGACACCAACACCCCAAAAAATCTCCTTGAGGGCGGCAAAATGCTCTAAAAATAAGTAGGAGCTGTGAACCCATTGGTGTAACGATTTGTGCACGTTCTCAGCCTGCTGAGATAGCAAACGCTGAGAAATCTGGGGGTGCAAACCCGTTTTGGGGCAGGGGGAGGAACACAAGGTCTAGGAACACCTTATAAAAAACCCCCAAAAGCCCGTGAAGGTCAGCGGGAGTCGGGAATGTGCTGGTGTGATGAGGTGTGCCTGTTCTCTGAGAGCCCTGGGGGCGCAAGGGGACCCCCCGAAAGGATACTTGGTGCCCACGACCATCCTGATGATGTCGCGGTCCCCGGGGCCCAGCACGCGGTCCATGAGCGCCGGCAGCTCCTCGAAGGACGCGCGGTCCGTGAAGGAGAACAGGAACAGGGCAGCGTCCGCCTCCTCCTTACAGGCCTGGGGACAGGGACACCCCCTCACTGCGGGGTCCCGGGGGTGCCCCCCACCCCAAAACGCCTCCCCAGCTCACGGGCAGCAGGTGCTCGAACTTCCTGAGCGCTCCATCCCCGCAGTCCCAGAGGTGCAGCTGGAACAGGACGGGGCGGCTGCTGCCGCGGGGCTTGGCCGGCCAGAACAGCGTGGTGGCCTCGATGCCTGCGGGGACAGCGGGGACCGTCACCCCCGGGACCCCCGGAACCCCGCGGGGACCGTCACCCCCGGGACCCCCGGGAGCCGGTGTCCCCCCGGGCCGTACCCAGGGTCTCGTGGTGGGCGAGCAGCCCGGGGGTCCCCCCCAGCCAGGCCACCAGCGCTGTTTTGCCGACGCCGCTTCTCCCGGCCAGGAAGAGTTTGTAGGTGACAGTGGGGACAGCCAGGGCGGGCGGCAGCGCAGGGCGCTCCAGCAGACCTGGGGAGGGGGCTCAGGGTGACTCTGGGGGGCTGAGACCCCGGTTTGGGGGGCGCAGGGGGGGGCACTCACCGAACACTCTCCGCTGGTTCTTGTGCAGGATGGAGTCCAGGTAGGGGCGGCCGGCGGGGGAGAGAAGCCAGCCCGGCTCCAGCGCCCAGTCCTGCTCTGCCATGGGCCCCAAACCTGGAGCCCCCTTCCCTCATGGGGTCACTGCATCCCGCAGCTTTGGGGACCCCTTCTGGCCTCACCCCAGGGTCCCTAAATCCTCCATCTGTTCACTAAAACACCCCCCCCACGTCCCGGCATCCTCCCGTGGGGTCCCCAAAACCACCCATGGGGTCCCTGACACCCCTCTGTGGGATGCCTGACACCCTTCCATGGGGTGTGTGTCCCCCCTGTGGAGTTCCTACATCCTTCCATGGTGTCCCGGACCCCTCATGGTGTCCCTGACCCCTCTCTGGGCTCTCTGTGCCCCTCTCTGGGGCTCCACCACCCTGCCATGTGTTCCCTGACCCCACCATGGGGGTGTCTGAGGGTGTCCCCCTGCCACCCCTGTACCCCACCACAGGCTCCTTCCCCCTGCACCCCCACAGGGCCCCACCGGGCTCCCGTGGGTTCCCTGCCCCAGTCGGGGGTCCCTGACGCCCCTGAGTGTCCCAGTGTCCCTCCCAGCCCCTCACGCCATCCCCGCTCCCTCAGGAATTGTTCCCGCCCCGGCCCTTTAAAAACGCGGCCCCGCCGCTCACCTGAGGCCGCTTCCGCCTCGCCGTGACGTCACGGTGTGGGCGGGGCGCTGTGGGACCGCGCCCAGCCGCAGCTGCGCATGCGCGGGAGGGTTGGGGGCGCCTGGGGTGACCCCGGTCGTGCGGATTTTGGGGGTCCCCATCCCAAATTAATGACACGGACGATTTGGGGTCCCAAACTGCCGGTTGTCCCAGGCCTTGGAGCCCTCATCCCTAATCGCTGACACTGGAATGCTTTGGGGTCCAGCAGCTCCCACACTGGCAGGACTTGAGGTCCCAATTTCCAGCCTCATCAGGCTCTAGGACCCCCATCCCCAATTCCCATCTCCAACGGGCTGTGGGACCCCCAGTTCCCAGCGCTGGCAGGATTTGGGGTCCCCGTCCCTAATTCCCAACCCTGGCAGGACCTGGCCTCCCTGTCTCCAGTTCCCAGCCCTGGCAGATTTTGGGGTCCTCATCCCAAGCAGGGTTTGGGATCCCTGAATTCCCAGCTCCAACAGGCTTTGGGGTCCCTGGGATCCCTGAATTCCCAGCTTCAACAGGCTTTGGGGTCCCTGGGATCCCTGAATTCCCAGCTCCAACAGGCTTTGGGGTCCTTGGGATCCCTGAATTCCCAGCTTCAACAGGCTTTGGGGTCCTTGGGATCCCTGAATTCCTAGCTTCAACAGGCTTTGGGGTCCTTGGGATCCCTGAATTCCCAGCTCCAACAGGCTTTGGGGTCCCTGGGATCCCTGAATTCCCAGCTCCAATAGGCTTTGGGGTCCCTGGGATCCCTGAATTCCCAGCTCCAACAGGCTTTGGGGTCCCTGGGATCCCTGAATTCCCAGCTCCAATAGGCTTTGGGGTCCCTGGTTTCCACCCCCAACAGACTTCTGGGTCCCCATCCCCAATTTCTGACTCCAGGAGGCTTCAGTGTCCCAAATTCCCTGTGTCCCCCTTTGTCCCCCTCCACTGCTGCAACACCCCAGGTGCAGTATTTACCTTTCTTACCCAAAAAAGACCCAAAATCCTCCCCTTTCACCCCTAAAGTTCCGAGGGGTGCAGCAGAAACTTCCCCTCCACATCATCCCCAACCCACCCGTCCCCAAGAGCACCGACCATCCATTTATTTTCCTTTTTATTTGTTAAACCACTAAAAATTTGTCGGGAAGGCGGGGGAGGGACCCCCACGAATACCCCCCAAAACGTACACAAGATTTTAAATATCACCGGAATCGCTTCCCATCGCTGCGCCGGGCCCGGGGACGTTGGGGACACCTGAGTGGCGCTGGGGGGACACACCTCGCTCACAGCACCGGATCCCAATCGGGGCTGAATCTCCGCACAACGGCACAGAACCGGGGGGATCCCGGGATGGGAGCCCTCCAGGGATGCTCAGCAGGGACAAGGACACCAAGTCCATCCCAGGGTTTGACTCTTTTTGTGGTTTTTTTGGGGGGGGAATGGATGACAAAAAAACATGCAAAGGGCACGTGCCAATCGATGGCGAAGCCTCGAGCGCCTTTCCCACGGCCACGCTCGGAGAGGGAAAATTCCACAGCTCACCCAAGGTGCTCCTGAGGTCTGGGGGTCTTTTTTTGAGGGGGTGGGGGCGGAAAAAAAACAAAAAATGGCATTTTGCTTTCCCTTAGGAGAAACGGGATCGTTGTGGGACCAACGGCAGAGGTGGGATTCGACGAGGGATTTATTTACAGAGGTGGGAACGCCGCGGGTGAAGTGAATCCCTCCCCGTCCCCACGCGGCTGGGATGGGATTTAAGGCTCCGACCGGCAAAAAGCTCAGTGGGAATGGAGAAGAAAAATTTCGGGAAGAAGGGGCCACGTCATGGCGCTGCCGGCTTGGGGAGGGCTCCGCTTGGAGGGTGCTGGAGGCTGTTGACCAAAACCTGGCAGAATCCGCCCCGTTTTCACCCCCTTGGAGGGGACAGGGGAGGATGGGGGCTGTCCCAGAAGGACGCACAGGTTCAATCCCTTCGGATTTGGATTTAATCTTTGCGAAAGGAGGCACGTGCAAAGATGAGGTGAAGTTACGGCATCGAGGCTGCGCTCGGATTTACCAGTATCTGTCCTTTTTCCCTGGAAAACCCACCCTGTTCCCAGGCTCTGAGGGGCTGCTCCGGCCTTGGATGGCTTCGGGCTGCCGGATTAAATGAAGCCTTGAAGTCTAGGAGGGAATTGGGCAGCCCAATATCTCAGTTTTGAGGGAATAATGGGAATTTTAGAGTATTTTTGCTGGGCAGAGGGGATCAGGGCTGATCCCAAAGCCTGATCCAGCAGGGCAGGGAGAGGAGGGATGCTAACAATCAAGATTTTTGGCATTTTGACACACACACACAAAAGAAAATGTCCTTTCCTCCTTCTTTTGGTCCTGCCTGGAGGACAGGGATGAGCGGCAGGTGAGAGGCAAAATAAAAAAGGCATCGTGTTTGTGTCGAGCAAAGGTTGGCAGCGCTGGGAGGTTCCCAGTGGGATATTGCTGTTGTTTTCCTGACGAAGTTGAGCATGGAATTAATCAAGCTAACAGCCTCCTGCCTGCTGGAATTTGGGTTATTCCTATAAAACCACTTCTGCTCACAACCCCACGAGGAGTTCAGGAGAGACCGAGACTCGCCAACGCTCGGAAAGCAAAGCCAGGAGGATCCCGGCTGGAGGAATTCCCCGGCCGCTCACCCCAAATCCTCGGATCCTTCCCCACCTGTAAACACAACTCGCTCGACTGGGGCTGTACTGGGAACTGCCAGGGCAGTGCCGGAGGGTTCGCTTGGACTTTTATTGGTTTCCTGCTCCCCTAATTCACAGTTTGAACGCCTGTGTGTTGGGAAGGGGCTCGGGAAGGAGGAGGAGCTGCGGGGACGGAGGGGACAGGCGGCGGCGGCGGGCGGGGGCCGCATTATCTCTTTGCTCGCACAAAGTACAAGGCATTTGTTTTGGGGTAATATTTGACGTTTTGTTTCTTGTCCATGAGGCCACCGAATATGATCAGCTCCCCTCGGCCTTGCACCACCGTGTGTAAACTGGTCTCGGGCGGCCCCACCACGGAGCTGCTGTTGAACACTTTCCACTTGACTCGTCCCCGCTCCTTGGTGTCCTTAATGTCCAGCACGTACATCTGCATGGGTTTGCAGTTCATGCTCTGGTACAGCGGCTTGCCCACGTTCAGCGACTGCGGCGGGTGGTGCCCGAGGCGCCGGGCGATGGGGGGCAGCGAGTGCCCCTCGCCCTGAGCGGCGCCCGGCCGCGCCAAGCCCGGCTCGGCGCCCGGGGACCCCGGGGACAGCGCCAGGGGAGGGCTCAGCGCGGCCGAGGGGGCTTTGGAGGAGAGAGCTTTGACGGCCTCCAGGCTGCGGCGGAGCGCGCCGGGGGACACGGCGCCGGGCAGGGCGGCGTGGGGCGGGGTGTGGACGCCGTTGGTGTGCTCCGGAGGGTTCCGCGCGCCCGCTGTCCTGCCCTCCGCGCCATCCAGCTGGCACAGGAGGGACGTGGGCTTCTGCTCCCAGCCCAGCTCCGCGGCGGCCAGGCGCAGATCCGTCTGCTCCGGCAGCGAGCCCCGGCGCGGCGCCAGGGCCGGCCCTACCTTGAGGTCGAAGCCCTCGGCGGCCGAGGGGGTGCTGGGGGACAGGGCCTGCACGGGGCTGTCCAGCGAGGCCCCGCCGGCCGGCGCCGCTCCGGGTGACACGGTGCCGCCGTTGAGCACCGGGGAACTGTCCCCTCTGGCTGGGGACAGGCTGCCCTCCCGCGAGCCCGACGGCGTCTGCCTGCGGGGCCGCAGGGTGCCCCAGCGGCCGTTGACGCAGGGAGCCTCGTCCGTGCTCCTGACCGGAGACTGGGAGCGGAATTCCCGCATCTCGGGCACCAGGGCGGGCGGCGTGGCGCTGATGGGAGACGGGCGGGAGTTGAGGCTGGGGCTCAGCGGGGCTCTGCCGCTGGGGGCTTGGCTGAAGACCACGACGCACTGCCCCACCTGCGGGGAAAGCAGGGAGCAGAGGTCAGAAGGACCCTTTGTGCTGGGGAGAAGCGGTTCCGGAGCGTTCTGGGGAGGGAGTAAAGAGGGAGGGATGTGTGGGAGGGAGCAGGGACCCCGCCGTGCCCGTACCCTGCACGCGGGATGGCACCACAGCTCCGGGGCTCCGTGGTCCTCGTTCTCCACCTTGAGCGGCTGCCACGTCCAGGGGTTGGCCTGCATGTGCAGCAACCAGGCGTCTTTGAACAGCTGGGGAGGGAAGGGTGACAGATTCAGGAGCCTGGGCTGGGATTCAGGAGCCTGGGCTGAGGTTCAGGAGCCTGGGCTGAGGTTCAGGAGCCCGGTCTGCTGACGGGCTCAGGCCATCAGGGCCATGCTGGGAGCGGTGCTCTGCTGCTGCACACAGAGGATGCTGACCCAGAGCAGGAGCTGATCACACCTCACTATGGACATGGGTAAATCCCTTCATCCCCATCTGCTACCTCAGTACAAAGTCAGGGCTCATCTTGACGAGCCTCAGTGAACCCAGGGAGCTGCTCAGAGAGCGCCTGGGGTGAGTTTCATTAATTAAAGCAGCTCCAGCAACAGCTAAACAGTTTCTCTGGAAAATCTACCGGGTGAGTGCCCAGATTTGAGGAACAAAATGCCCCCAACGTGCAGAGTGTGCCCATCCCAAATCCAGTC